CCTCAGCCTCCCGAGTAGCTGGGACTACAGGCATGCGCCACCATGCCCGGCTAATTTTTTCTATATATATGTATTTTTAGCTGTCCAGATCATTTCTTTCTATTTTTTAGTAGAGACGGGATCTCGCTCTTGTTCAGGCTGGTCTTGGAACTCCTGACCTTGAGCGATCCGCCCGCCTCGGCCTCCCGGAGTGCTAGGATTACAGGCGTGAGCCACCGCGCCCGGCCTCATATCTTGCTTTCTTAATCACATACATTTACTCATCTCCTTAGCCTTGTAGGATTCAGACAATCTTTGTTTTACACATGAGTAAACTGAGGTTCGGATAATTAAAAATCAACAACTCTACAGGCCTGAGAAAGGGGGATTTGAACTAGCTCTCCCGTGTCAGACTTGCCCTTCTTCTCTCCACAGGGCATCATGGTGGGAGGCTTGAAGAGGAAGCACTCGGAAGTGGAAGGGGAGGAGGAGGATGAGAAGTGGGACTGGAGTCCAGCTGGCCTTCAGAGCTACCAGCAAGCCCTGCTCCGCATCTCCCTAGACAAAGTCCAGCGCAGCCTGGGTCCCCGCGCACCCAGCCTCCGAAGGCATGTTCTCATCCAAAACACCCTCCAACAGCTCCAGGCTGCACTTCGCCTGGCTCCCGCCCCTGCCCTGCCCCCAGAGCCCCTCTTCCTGGGCGAGGAAGATTTCTCCCTGTCGGCCACCATTGGCTCTATTCTCAGGGAGCTGGAGACCTCCATGGATGAGACCGAGCCTCCTCAGAATCCAGTGGCTCCCTCAGACCTCCAGAATGAATTGCCACCCCAGCCTGATCCAGTCTTCTTAGAAGCTCTGAGCTCCCGGTACTTGGGGGACTCTGGCCTGGATGACTTCTTTCTGGACATTGACACATCTGCAGTGGAAAAGGAGCCCACGCTGGTCCAGCCGGAGCCGCCTCACAACTTCTTCTGTGCCCCAGGCTCCTGGGAATGGAATGAACTAGATCACATCATGGAAATCATTCTTGGGTCCTAAAATTTTGATTTGAGGCGGGGGGGAATCCTCCTGTCAGCCTTGGTAGGCCGGATCCCTGGATGCAACTTTGTGTGTTTTGGGGCGGGGGGCTCTAAGCAGTGACTGTGGCCTCCTTTCCTCCCATTTCAGGGTTCCACAAACTGTCTTGCATGTGTGTATGTGTCTGGTTAGCCCAGCCTTCTGTGAAGGTGGGTCTTCCTCAATTAATTTATCTGTTCCAAATGCCTTAATGGGACTCTGTTTCTGGGAGTCTGATTTTCCACTTACACACATTTCTTCTGCCTTTTTCCTCCAGTTCCTACTCCCCTTGTGACCACTGGGGCCTCAGGGAAGATAAAGAAAGCTAGGCCTGTCAAAGGATGACAGGGATGTGCTGCCAGGTTGCTATGGAAACCCAGGCTCTGCCTCTTGCACCTTGAGGGAGTAGGAGGGGCTGGTCCCCTCTTCCCAGGCTGAACCCCGCTTCCTTGGCAGGACCCCAGTCCCAGCAGCCTCCTGATTCATAACCAGGCCGGACCACGTGCAATAGGGTGGAAACCAAACTGCTCCGTGCTACATTATTTAAAAGAAAGGCAGGGTTTGTGTTGGCTTTTTTTATTGTAATTTTTTTTTTTAATAAAATTATTTTGGAAGGAGTGATGATGTCTTAAGTTTCTAAGATTCACTGAGTCAATGGGAAGGACTGGTTAAGTTCCGCAGACACCTGCACCCCTTCATTGCCAAAGTCGAGGCAGGTATATCATTGTACATAACGTTTATTGAGTGCTTGTTAAGAGCACTGTTCTAACCACTTTATTTGAATTAAGTCCTTTAATCCTCATGATGATATAGAAGTACATACTATTATCACATTTTATATAGGAGAAACCTGAAGTTCAGAGACGCCAAGTCATTTACTCAGGGTCACACAGCTAGGAAGAACAAGGACCGGGGAGCTAGGACTCAAAGTCAGTTGGCCTCCGAAGCCTTGTTCAATCAACCCTTTATTTATATTGAATGTGCTACGGAGGCCCAGAGGGGAAAGAAGATGCTCAAAGACCCCTAGTGCTAAAAGATTTTTTTTTAGGAGACTGTTGGCTAGGCACCAAAGCCCAGACTGGAGTTAGGTGCTAGTGCTTTATTTAGGAGGTGCAAGCCCGGGCTGGTGAGGGGAGAAGGGGAGGGAAGCCAGAGAAGATAAAATGTGATGTGTTGCGCTGGTTATGCCTTCACAAAGACCCCTGAAGAGATGCAGCAGGTGAATTTGCACAGCATTGGGGACTTTACAGGAAGGGTTGCGACGAGGAACCACACTTGCATGTAGTCCATGGCAGAGAAAGGTTGGGAATTTTGTCTGTGGTTTCTGGATCAAAGCCAGATTTCTCACCCTGAGGGGGTCATTGCATCTAAGTCAGAAAGTGGAGGGGGGTAACCCGAACAGTTAGGTGCCAATCCAGAAAGAGGAAGGGGGTGGTCAGGGGGATCTCCAGAAAGCACACCAGGTCTGCATCCCAGTGAGGATGCCAAGTGAATCATGGCTTCCTCCTGAAGACTTCTTGTCACGCTCAGAATAAAACCTCAACTCTACAAAGGCCTCCTGATTCATAACCAGGAGCAAGGACTGAATGACTCTCACTCCTGACAACTCCCCCAGTTCCATCTCCCACTCTCTCCTTCACTCCAGTCACGCTGGCCTCCTTTGAGCCCTGGCCCCTTCTTCCCGCCACAGGGCCTTTGCCCTCCATAGACCCTTCCCCCATAGCTTCACCAATCCAAATGTCCCCTTCTGAGGTCTTCCTTGCCCTTCCTAGCTCAACGTGTCCGAGGTGGGTCACCACCGCACCGCGGCCTGTTTGACTTTCTGAGTGGCACCTATCCAATCTCAAGTTATTTATTACCCATTTATGGTTAGCCTCCTACTCCTCTGGCACCTGAGAGGGAGGGGCTGGGTCAGTCTTTGCCCAGCGATATCCCCGCTCGTGCCTAGAACTATGCTTGGCACATACGGGCTCTCAAAAAATTTGCTGAACAAATGAACTCCAGACTTTGCGATGGCCAACCCTCCCTCCCACCTCTCTGAACTCACACCCTCCCTGCTGTGCCCCAGCCACGCCATTCCCTGCTGTTCCTCAAAGACTCAAACCGCCACCATACCCCACCCTGCAGACACGGATTAGTACCTGCCTCGCAGCGAAGTCTGCAAAGCGTGTAACACAGGGCCTAATGTGCACTGAGGTTTCCAATAATGCTCAAATTTATTGAGTGCCTGCTGTGGCCCTGGCACATGAGTAAAACAGACAAGTTTTGCTGTCATGAAGTGTAACAGTGGGGGAAGATTGAAATAAACACGAAAAAGAAGTTAAAATGTACAGCCTGCCAGGTGGTGATACATGATGTGGGAAAAAAAGCAGGAGAGCGGAGGGGGTGTTGCTATTCAGGTGGGATGGCCAGAGAAGGCCTCACTGGCGAAGTGGCGTTCAGGTAAAGAGGTGAGGGGTGAGCTGTGTGGCTCTCTGGGAGAACAAGCCAGGCAGAGGAAACAACCAGTGCAAAGGCCCTGAGGCCAGAGCGTAAGTGGAGTGACTGCAGAACAGTGAGGAGGGGTGTGGCAGGAGCAGAGTGTGCAAGGGGTGGGGGGACACCAGATCAGGTGACAGGGGAAAGGGACCAGATGTGCAGGGCCTCCTGGGTGTCCTACAGGGCGGACTATAACTTTACCTTGAGTGAGATGGAAGCCACGGGGAGGTTGCTGAGCAGGGGAGGGATGTGACTGGACTCACCTTTTTCTTAGAGCTGTCCTCCTCGACTGCGCTAAAGGCAACCAAGGGAGGGGGAATCAGAGCGGGTAGCTTGCTAGTACCCCGTGGAGGCCAGTATGCAGAGCACCCACTTTCCAGATGAACAAGCTGAGTCTCAGGGAGGCCCAGCTCCTTCCCTAACGTTCGCACCAAAGAACCGGCCACAGAAGTGGAAAGGCTGGCCCTGCGGAGGGACCCGAGTCCCCAGGGCAGAGTCCACGTTCCCTAAGCTTCCGTCCCCCGCGGGCCCGCAGTGGGGGATGGGCCCGCGGCCCTCGCTGGGCGTGGCGGGGGAGGCGGGTCCCTCCCCGCTGCCCACCCTCCGCCCTGGGCTGGCCAGCCGGGGGGACACCGGCGAGGCGGCCGCGGCCCGGAGCCTGCCTGGCGCCTCCTCCCTCCCCAGGGGCTGGGCGGGGCGGCCGGCTGGGGGCGGGACGCTCCCCCGACCCCCCTCCTCCCTCCCCAGCTGGCGGAGGCTGCTCCCCAGGCCTGCCCGGCCTGGTGGCTTCACTTCTGGTTTCATTTCCCCGAGGCCCGGGCCTCTCTTTTTCTCCCCTCCCCCAGCCTTTCAACCCCTGGCTCCTTCTCCGTTTTCTGGTCTCTCTGAGCGCTCTGGCTGCAGGCGCCTCTCCCCAGGCCTCCCTACTATCCCGTTCTATTTTGTTTTCTCAAGTCACTGAACAGAAGTGGAAATTATTTTTCTCATTTGTTTATCTTCCAGAGTCTTCTGATCCCACTCGCAGTAAAAATTGAAAGGTCCACAGAGAAATCTAAAAGACCCGGTAACTTCTCTGACCTCCTCCCTCGCAACTCCCAGTCCAGCTCCACTGGCCTTGCTGCCCCACAAACAGCACCTCAGGGCCTTTGCACTGGCTCTTCCCTCTGTCTGGAACACTGTTCCTCCAGAGTTTTGCAGCCTCTCTTATTTCATCAGGTCTCTGCTCAAATGTCACCTCTTCAGAGACAACTCCCCCCTAAAGCTACATACCCTTTCATTACCCTCCTCCCACTCCGTTGCTTTCTTTTCCTTTGCCCTTATAGCTCTTAAAGTACTATGTAATTTCTGTAAGTTTCTTGTCCATTGCCTCCCATAAGGAATTTTTATCTATAATTTCACTGCCGTATCTTCAGTACCTAGAATAGTGTCTGGCACACAGAAGGGGCTTAAAACATGAATGTTTGTGAATCACTGAATGCATTTGTTTCCATGTCTTTTCTCTCTCCACCCCCATCCTATGATCCATGAGAGGAGAGACGGTATGAGTTTTATCCAATGCTGTAACCCCCATCATCTTACAACAGTGTGTACCATATAGTAGGTGCTCAATAAATACATGTTAATCAAATGACTCCTGTAAGTTCCTCTTCAGTGTATGACCTGGAGAAAGCCACTTGGAGACTCTGAATCTCCTTTTTGCCAGGCCATAAAAATGGGTTGTGTGTTTATTAGGGATCCACAGCTGTGAAAGATAAAAAGTAAAAAATAAATAAATAAAAAGAGAAAAAAAAGAAAGAAAAATAAATTTAAAAGAAAAAAGGGTTGTTGGGGTAATTATGTGAATTTGCCTAGCAGAGGCCTGGTTGTAATTAGCATTTTACCCTATTTTTATTATGAAAAAATTCAAGCACATAGAAATAATGAAGAAAAAAAGTATTCTGAGCACCTGAATACCTTCCTACCTAGATTTAATTAATAGTTGTTAACATTTTGCTAAGTTGCCTTTATCTACATATGTATAGGTGTATATGTATATTTTTTTTTGAGACAGAGTCTCACTCTGTCACCCTGGGTGGAGTGCAGTGGTGTCATCATAGCTCACTGCAACCCCAAACTCCTGGGCTCAAGCAATTCTCCTGCCTCAGCCTCCCAGAGTGGTAGGATTACAGGCCTGAGCCACCTCACCCGGCCATGTATATAGTTTTCTTCTTTTGCTTAACCATTGAAGAGTAAATTTCAGATATCTTGACATTTCTACCCTTAAAAGCTCAGCAGGTGTCTCTTAAGAATAAGGACATTCAGGCCCAGTGCAGTGGCTCACACCTATAATCCTAGCACTTTGGGAGGCCAAGGCGGAAGGATCCCTTGAAGCCAGGAGTTTGAGACCAGCCTGAGAAACATAACAAGACCCCATCTCTACAAGAAATAAAAACCACCAGACATGGTGGCACATGCCTGTAGTCTCAGCTACTGGGGAGGCTGAGGCAGGAGATTGCTTGAGCCCAGGAGTTTGAGACCACGTGGGCAACAAGGTGAAACCTCCTTTTTCAAAAAAAGAAAAAAAGAATAAGGACATTTACCTACAAACTATAATACTATTTCATATCTAAGAGAATAAAAATTCCATATCACCTAATATCCAGTCCATATTCCAATCTGTCCAACTGTCCCAAGAATATCTTTTATAGTTGTTTTCTTTTCCCCAAAATCAGGATCCAGTGAAGGTTTATATACTATTTTGGTTGTAATAAAGAAATTACATTGACAAATAGTGGGGAAAAAAAAAAGAAAAAGAAGAAATTACACAGTACCTCTCTTTTTAAAAAATATATTAGAGATGGGGTCTTGCTATGTTGCCCAGCCTGGTCTTGAACTCCTGGCCTCGGGTGATCCTCCTGCCTTGGCTTCTAAAGGGCTGGGATTGACAGGCATGAACCTGGCCAGTATCTTTTATTCTGAAACATTCCCCTTCCAATCTGTTTTTGTGTTTTCTTGACATTGAATTTCTGGCAGAACAGCCCAGTTGTAGAATGTCCCACATTCTGGATTTGTCTGATTGATTATGTTTGATTTGTTCCTCTCTATTTGTGATAAGCTGGAGATTGGGTCTGGAGGCCTGATGAGAGTCAGTTTATGCGATG